AATGTAATATATAATTATAATTTCAAAATATAATTTATTTATATATATAATTATATTTTTTGTTAAATATTTTTTCTCGTTATCTGTCCATCTTTTATTTATAATTTATAAGAGATAATTTTATAACATTTTATGTTTATACGTTTTCAAACCTTAAATTACTGTCATCATCATCAATCATGCGTTATATTAAGCAGTTTTTTCGATTAATGAGTAAATCAATTATAAATTGCGCATGCAAGATTAATTTGCTTGAGGCGAAGCTCACGCAATTCTTCGCTACAGTATTTTGCAATTTATGAAATATTGATAATTTTCTTCGCGTCAGCTTGGGACATGACGTTATAACATGCAATGAAAGTAACCGATAGCATAGCTTTATGTATATGTATAATGACTATATATGTACAGTATGATAAAAATTTGATTTGAAAGAAAGAAGGATCTCATTAGTAAAAAATAATTTATCCAAAAATTATTTATGTTATTCGTATATAATTATATATTCTTATTTTATCAAAAAAATTTTCACATTATAATTTAATTAATGAATTCTTTAAAATCCAACTGATCATATTCTAATCTTGATACAATCATTTAAAAAATTCTCTTCACACGTGTTTCGGGAAACGTAGCTTCTTTTGAGTATTAAATCTAAAAGGGGTTACTGTAATCAGTGACGAGAACAATTCGTATGCAAATGCTGTTGCGCGCAACCCCACTATCGCATCTTCGTTCTACCACTGAGTAAAGCGAAAGTAGTTTCAAGCGGATGTAGTCAAACGAAAGGAGCGAGCACCTGAAGATTTATAAAGAATCAATAGAAAAATTAATCAATTTGAAAATTAAAAATTAATCGAAGGTAATTTTTTAAATTTTTATTGTGAGTGAAAGTTAATCAGTATGTTATAGCGCAAAGAAATTTCTGATTTTTAATTATGCACGGAAAAAATATGGTATATTTTTGCATTTATAAAATCTATTTTATTGTAAAATTAAACAAATGGTTGATGTTATCAATTAGGTTAGAATAAATATGTATTTGCTATGATCTTCAAATTCAAGCAACTACATTCATTAAAAATAAACGAACTTTTAATTAAATAAAAGCTTTTAAAACTAAAATCTTTATTTTTGAAAAGTCACTATGTCTTTTGAGTTTCTATAAGTTTGCTAATTTTTACATAGAGAAATCTAGCTAGACTAAATGGAAAGAAACCTTCAATTTTGTTTATATGTTTATGTTAAAACTTTCGATAGGATAACCAACAGCCAGTTTATTTTATTTGAAAGATTGATTCAAAGGATAAATCTCTTTTATATACATCGATTTAATAAAGAGAGAACATACATTAAAAATTTATAGTTGAGATACGAAGATCTTATGATTTTCTTCATTTTTATCGCACTCTCATTTAAGTTGCAGTAGTATAACCAGATATGTAGTCATCAGTGAAACGATCTGAAAACAATATCGATCGAAAACGATATCGATCACATAATGATTTTCCAATATCCGAATAAAATTCGGAATAGGAATTCGATGTATGTGAATAAATAAAACAGAATCATATAAATTATAATACTATACAATCGTACAAACTATAACTCTATTATAACACTATTTAGAAATTAATATAGAGTTATACAATTGCAAATACTTGAAGCTGTAATCCTTTCTTTTATAATTAAAATACAAAATACCTTATTAATACAAAAATAACAATATCTAAAATAAAAATCTGTAAAACACAATATCTAAAACATAAGTTGTTAATTATCCTTAATTATTGACATTTCTGAAATATGTATACAGAACCTCTATGAATACGCTACATAATTGCGACCTAAATCTACAGAGTACCGTCGATTCAGAGATAATTTCCTGTAAGAAAATCGAAGTTAAACAGAATTTCGCGTTAAACAGAAAGCTACTATCGTAGCTTGGAGTCGTGTGCTCTCAAAGTTACGTACTCATACAATTACACTACTAGTAAAATCTCACACAAGTACCAATTTCAAATGGCAACCGACTTGAGCACACACGAGCTCTATTCAGTTTACAAGAATCATGAAATTGAAGGGCGTGTTTCCGACTACGCGATTTACGCGCACATTTACATTGGTGTTTACAACGTTCCGAATTCCTTTGGATATACTAAGTTAAGACCTCCATTAAGACTAATTAAGCTTTACCTTTGTCACGTATTACAGAAAAGTTTAAAATGAAACTATTTATGTTGATATATTGATTCTTTGTGGCATTTATTTTTAGTTTATTGATTGATAAAAATGAAATATAACTGGTATTTATTTAAAACTCATGTTGATAAATATTCCACGTAATCATTTCCGAAAATACCGTACATAGCAATTAATATGAAAATATTTATATACGCTACGAGATGTAGTTATTATTTTATATATATTTACATGACGTTTCAATTTAAAACCATATTACGTCTATGTTTTATTTATATTTCAATATGAAGCCAAACGTTTTTTATTTTTATTTCGCGTTTTGATATGACTGTTATGTTATTTATACTTTCGCATGGAAATAGATATCATATCTGTGTGATAAACGTTTTTAATTATTATCTCAATTAAACTGCAACGCGACGTGGAAAATACATAAACGCACGTTCTCCTTTAAGTCGTATTATCGTAAGTTGCCGTAATAATCTCGTAGTGAGAAACGTGTTTAATTTTCAATGAAATCACCTAGATAATTCAGCAATTTTGAATCTTGACGAGATGATTACGTTTACTCATAATATCTACATGAGAAAAAACGAAAGAGAAAAAAATAAAGTCTTAATACCATGAAACGTTCTTCATTATTAATCCTTTTAATCTTTCAACGTATTACGTTTTTGTACGTAAGCACGTAGGCATTAAACTTTTGGCTAAAATTGAAATTTGGATCATGAAATTAATTGATATATATATATATATATA